GAGGGCGCCTCCCCGGGGTCTGCGGTGGGGCCGTGTGTGGGGCAGCGAGATTTTGCCTTTAGTTTGTGGTTTCTCGCGGAGGAGGCCCAGGACGAAGGGCTGAAGGTCAGCCCGTGCTGCAGCATTCACGGCCTGGGTTGCTGGGGCAGGGAGAGGCCACCATCTGTGAAACATGGGAAGGGGCCAGTACCAACAGCCCTGGGACATGTTTGGTTTTCCACAACAAGGGCCAGAAGAACCTAAATAGAACACGATGAACATTACCAATTCAAATGTAGTTTATTGTTTGTTTTACCATAGCACCTTTAGATTTGTTGAAGTATTAAATACACACACAATTGCAGAACTCTCAAAAGAAGGATTAACTTAGAACACCTTGATGGCAAATACTGCCTGGTGACCACATCGCACATAAATAGGAGTTCAAAAAGGAGTTAAACATAGTTTTTAATTTTGCCCCCATAAGAACCATTTACTGGAAAGAACAGGACACCAGAGAGCACATGAGGTTTACAGACTCCACATATCAAAGACCTGATTTTCCAGGAGAAGATGCAGACTAGGTTCATAAAGTAGTTGAGTATCCAAAGCTGCTCTTTAATTGGCTTAAAAGCAAATCAGTATTTCACACACACCCTGAACTCACATGGTATTCACATCACTGAAGTGCCACTGAGGTTAAACTGCAATCTTTCCTTTGGCTCAGTATTGGAGATATTCAGGATCAGGAAATGAGGGTGAGAGGAATAAAGCAACATTAGCATCACACTCAGAAAAAAAGGTGAGGCTCAGGGAGTAAAAAAAAAAACCAAAACCCAAATCATTATTTCTGGTATAAAACTGTTCACAAACACTGTGGTTGTTCAGGAAATAATCTCTTGGAAGTGTAGAGCTCAGGCACTTAAGTTATTTTCAGCTTCACACTTCTGGTGGGTGGGCCCTCTCCCACCATCCTGTCACCCAGTGCAGCAATACAATGTTCAATAGTTTAAAAAAATATATACACACACCCCCCCCAAACATAAAACCCCACATGATCTCCCCAGCAGAGAAACAGCATGAAAAAGGAAGCATGAAAAGGAAAGGAGCTCTTATAAACATGGACATGCTCAACAAACCACTGACAGGTTTTAAGAGCTGAAACCATCAGGACTTTGTAGGATGAAAATGACCTTTTCCATCATGTGCAAAAATATCTGGGTTTGGGGCACAGTTTATGGTGTGATGCCAACCTCCTATATTGCTGATATCCTACACTTAGGATATAATGTCACCATCATTTTATCATCTCATGCTGCAAGGAAAAGAGGAAGGTGTCTCCTGACAGCAACCCTGAAATGCCAACCTATTTTCTAACATATGGCTTTGAAGCAGGGCTCCTTTTGTGCTTGAAGGTGAGGTGCAAGGAGAGCATTGCCCTCATGGAGAAGAACGAGAGTGGCTGAGGGGGCCCAGCAAGGCACTGTCTCCAAAAACACTGGCATAGGAAGACTTAAGGAACTGGACGTAGTTTTGCATGCTGCGGTTGGTGCTCTCCGACTGCTCCAACCGATCCTTTAAGTCCTGCAGACGGCTTTCATAGCGGCGCTCTGCCTGCATAATGCAGCACAAAACACAGGCTGAAAGACAGCAACATTCATCCCAGGAAAACAGAAGCTGTTCCCCAAAAGCGCTGAGGACAGCAGGAA